GATAGATAGATAGATAGATAGATAGATAGATAGATAGATAGATAGATAGATAGATAGAAAGATAGATAGATAGATAGCATCAACGATAACTCTTTTCAGTTCAAGTGGCCCAGTAGAACGTAACTGTGCAAGCATGGAAAATACCACTGCCCTGTACCTTCAAATTTAAATGTAATTCACCCATCATGACAGCTCCTCAAAAGTGAAGCCAATAAAGCATCTTGATCGCTGGCTGGCTGCAGAACAGGTAATACATCTTGCCTCCTCCATGTTAGTGGACTGGACATGGATCAAAATTGAAAAATCAAAGTACATGTCAAGATAGTTTGTGTAATTTTAGGTCGTTTTTTGCAACTTTCAAGTATTCATTTTTTTAATTTTTTGGATAAGTTTGGATTGAATTTGTTATTTAATGCTATTAAAGCGTCAAGACTGACAGCTGAGACTGACTCACAATTTGCAGAGCGTATATTGGCAGGACCTTGGTACCACAGCTTTTTACTGCACAGACTCTGGCTCCAAATGTGAAAGATGGCAGCGTTAGTATCTGGGATCTTCTTGGCTTCATTTCTGGATGGTGGGAGGAAGTGGAGATGTGTCGTCTTTATATACAACCTATGGTGCAGAAATAACAAAGATGTGTGAAATCATCCAATGGCCCAGAGAAAGTCAGTAAAAAAACAAATGTTTTCTTTAATAACTAAATGCAGCATTCCTATGATGATTCCTATTTTAAATAAAAACGTAAATTATGTTTCTTTCTGGGAGCAATGAGTCTGATACAGTGTCTCGGATTTCCAAATAGAGGGTAGATGGGCAGCCAGAGTTATTGTTCATGACAGAGTTGATCTTGAGTAAATATTTTATGTCCTGCTGTTTCACCTGTCATATAATTATCCTTCATCATATCACTTTCAATAAAGGTTCAACACTTGACCTACATGGTGTCATGTGTATGTTCAATGAAAGTACAAGCAATCTCAACAACAAGAGGAAACCCACGGAAGTGATTTTTTTCCCTCGTGTGTGCTTGCTGAGCAACACCTGAGTGACCGACTGTGTGAACTACTTTGAAAAACACACTTTCCATTGAAGATAAGAGCGGGGGCCACCCCATATGGTGCTCAGCAGGATATTACAGGCTGTTGTATCACTGTCAGATCTCCATGATGAATACACTTCAGCTTGTTTTTCACTTTGGTAAATTCCATCTTCTATTGGCAAACACACACGTGACGCCTGCTCAAATAATTTTCATTTTGCTCATCCATCCATGATCAGTCTCTTTTATAATACTGAGGAGATTGTGGAGTGGGTGTGAATCGAGCCAAGCAAACAGTGAGCAAAAATGAATTGGCCTCAGACTCATGGTGAACAAACACAATAAAGTACAGTAAATTACAATAAATAACAGTATTGACAGGATTTGGTCCGGGTTTATTAAAAACAGTGGAGATAAAATCTTAGCAACAGTCAGATGGAATATTCTACAAATGTATTATTATAATAAGAGTATTTTATGTTTCAGAAAAGCATTATGAAGTTTTCTAGTGCCCTCTGGTGTCGGCACACTGAGCCCCTCATCAGGAGGTTCAGGTCTGATTTTTTAAGTAAATTAAATGCATAGATTTTTCAAAATAAAGGTATATGTGCTCTTCTTATTTTCCGCAAAGAAGAAAACGTATTTGGACCCAAGGAGGACAAGTTGAATTATTTTAATCACTACATCAGATTGGTATGATTTCTCAAGTTGTTACATTCAGGTTTGACTCTTCAAATTCAACAAGGATTGTATATATAAATTGGTATGAGAACCAAAAGGAGACACAGATTAAAATAATGTAACATTTAACACCTCATTACATCGAAGGCTGTGGTTGGCTATAGTTGGTTGACCACAAATCAAGTGAGCACTTCCTCATCACCATCTGATCAGGTGTTAATGTCAAACTGCATTTGTCGATGCTTTTACAGGAACAGAGCAGTTTGCCATGAGGGGGGTGGATGCTGTAAATTAAGTTGTATTGAGGTTTGAGACCATTTACTCCTTCAAAGACAAGTAATGAGATTTGATCATTTATCCTTTACATTCTCAGGAGACATGGTGCAACGATGTTCATCCTTGCTTTCTTTTAGACTTCCAGTGTAACCACTAGGGGGCAATGCTGTTTTCCTAATATGTATATGAGGTGGTCCACTCCTTCTTCATCTTACTCGAAGATTAATACTTTCTCTAGATCATGTTTCATGGCATCATATCTTGTGAGTTTTTCAATGACTAAATCTGCATGTTTAGAAATGGAACCATCAGATTTTCCTTATAAAGGGGTCAGAGATCAGTCAAGATCTGAAACAATTGTTTTGTTTTGCTGTTACAAAAGAGTTGGATCTATGAGCTTCAAGCATTTCTAATTTTGAAATGTGGTCAGTAGTGTGTCTATTGTATATTTGTACATCAGAAGAGTTATTCGTGCTAACTGTAATGCAATTTAACAATGTTTTGTACATTTTAATTGCTACATGAGACAATTAATGCAACAATAGTTGCACAACTATGAACAAAAGTATTTTTGTAAAATGGAAGGAAATGAATGTGATGAATATAGATTCCCAGCA